CTGGCGCGGCTGCAGGGCCGCGAGTTCGAGTTCCTCATGCGGCAGCCCGCCGTCACCATAGGCCGCAACTCGTCGCAGGGCTCCGTGGACGTCAACATGGGCCACTCGAGCTTCATCTCGCGGCGGCACCTGCAGCTCAGCTTCCAGGAGCCGCACTTCTACCTGCGCTGCCTCGGCAAGAACGGCGTGTTCGTGGACGGCGCCTTCCAGCGGCGCGGCGGCCCGGCCCTGCAGCTCCCGCCGCAGTGAGTGCGCCCGCCGCGGGCCGCAAGGCCGCGCGCGCCCCGGCCCGAGGCGGCGGCCTCCCCTCCTTGCCGCCCCCGCGCCGGGGGAACGGGGCGGCGGGGCTCGGGGAAGGGTGGCCGGGGCTCGAGGGGTCCGTGGGGGAGCCCCCTGTGCCATGGAGGTCTGGCTGGAGGAGGGCCCGAGGGGGCCTCCCGCGGCAAAGGGGGCTCCGGGCTCTGGTGTAGGGGGTGGTGAGGGACCCCCTGGATGCGTGGAGGAGGGAAGGGGATCCCCCTCCTCCAAAGGGGATGGTTGGGGACCCCCCCCTCCTCCAAAGGGGGTGGTGAGAGACTCCCTGGATGGCGTGGAGGAAGGAAGGCCCCTGGATGGCGTGGAGGAGGGAAGGGGACCCCTCCCTCAAAGGGGGTGCTTGGGGACCCTCCAAAGGGGATGGTGAGGGACCCCCTGGATGGCATGGAGGAGGGAAGGGGGCCCCCTCTTCTAAAGGAGGTGTTTGGGGTCCGCTGGATTCATGTAGGAGATGGCGAAGGACCTTTTTCTCCAAAGGAGATTGTGAGGGACCCGCTGCTTGGCATAGGGGACAGCACGGGACCTCCCGCTCCAAAGGAGATGGTGTGGGACATATTTGCCCAGCATTAGGGGTGGTGAAGGACCTGCTCATCCAGAGGGGATGGGGGGTATAGGGGATGGTGATGAGGGGCTCCTCATGCCCAGCCAAGGGCCTGCAGAGGTGGTGAGGGCCCCTCCTTGGGCGGCGTGGGGCAGGGACCCCCATGTGGTGGCAGTGGCGAGGGTCACCCATGTGGGTGGATGGAGGGGCCTGGTGAGGTGACAGCCGGTCTGCTCCAGCACGGGCAGGGATGTCCCCTCCTTTCCCACCACAGTGACGTCACCAGTATAGAGGTGTCAGGGCTGCTTCCTTTGGGAGAGCCACAGCTGGGGAGGACGTGGGAGCCCTGGGTGCTTCTCCCATGGGATGTCCACCAAGGTCCTGCTCCTCCACGCCTGCTCGTCACCATGCTCAGGTTCCACAGGTGGCCCTTGAGGGTCTTCCAAAAGATAAATAAGGGAAGGAAGATGCCTGTCAGTGGGCTAAAACGTGCTACACCCAGGGTGTCTCTTCACTGGAAAAGTTTTAGTGGAAAAAGTTGGAAAGCCGCTGCGCTGCAGTGCTTGTTTTAGGGCTGGCAAGTTGCGTGCCGTTCCTCGCGTCTCTGAGGCAGCAGAAAGCAACAGGAGAGAAGCCGGAGGAGGGACAATGTCACCCAAGAGACCCTTGGAGAACTGGGAGCTGCAGAAATGCGTTTTGTGACATTGTAGACAAACTTTCTTGTCTGGGACGAGCGCAGAAATGAGGAACGCGGCCAGTGCTAGTCTGATTCTTGATCTGAAAATACCCTTCCTGGCTGCTGAGCTCTGTGTAGCTATTGCAGAGCTTTGCCCTGGAGGGGCAGCACGGCAGTGGTGGGGGTCTCCCCATGGGTTCCTCATCAGGTGAGACCAGACAGGCCGTATCTAAAACGATCTCCAAGTGAAAACTCTCTGTAAGTGCAGGCGATGCATATTTTATTATTTCCCATTGTACTTTTTGCTGTTTGCATAATGCATCTGGTTTTGCCTGGTAGTTTTTTGGCTTGGGCACCGTGCACCTCCAGCAAGAGGGTCCTGCAGTTATCCCTCCCTCACCAGCCTGTTGCTCAGGGGAGGGTTTTTTAATTACTCATTTCCTCTGCAGGCTGCTTCATTCTGTACTTAGTAATTTAGTTATAACTCCCTAGCTGCTCGCTCGCCGCGGCGTGCTGGTTTGCAGCGTGTTTCATTTTCTCAAGCGTTGTCCTTTAGTGTCTGTTTAATTAATCTGCCTTTGTAAAACAAGCCCACCCAAAGCCCAGGGCGTTCGTGCCGAGCTGCTCCCTCTGGGCCTGCCCACACCTCCTCGTGTTCAGCTTCTTCATTTAGTTAATCATAAGCATCGTGCTCGACAGCTCCCTGGAGTAAAGAATTGGTTGTTTATTTTTCTCCCCCCTCTGCTTACTTGTGACTTCGGGAACGGGAATGGCCATTTTCCTTGTTCATCCCTTTAAAGGGAGGGCTTTGCTGTGTGCAAAGGAGCTGTGCACAACGAGGCATCCTCTTTCCTTGGCCACTGTTTATAAGCTGCATAAATAAACTCGTCGCTCCTCCCTCTCTGAGGTCTAGAGTAGAAAAACGCTTTGCATCAATCTAAAGGAATTTGCCCCCTTGCTTCTTCCAGGTAAACAACTGCTGGGCAGTTAAGGGTTTGTAACCCGGACCAGGAAGAAAAGGAGGGGAGAAAATAAATAATAATATAAAAAAAATCAATCTTCCTGAAACTGGTTATTCCCAATCTTGATTGAAGTTTAACACTGATCTCCTAACCATTTTCATCTCCACTTTTGGAAATTCAGGCAATTTCTCCCTTCCCCACGTTCCCTCTCAAACCTAAACCCCAAACCAAACAAACTGTGAATGTTCATTGCTGGAACACTAAGGCAGTCAAAAATGAAAGGGAAAATATATGAATGTAGTACGCAGATGTTGAAGTTGAGTTTAGATTTTCTTCTAAATATTATGCTACGATAATATTACTGTCCTGTTTGGTGCAGCCACAGCTTTTGCATGTGTGGTATATATTAAATTTCAGGAACTGGTAGCTGTTTTATTTAATGCGTTAGATGGGAAGCTGTTGTGATGCTGGGAGCACTTGCTGGTAACGTTCTAAGAACTGGCTGTTGGAATAGTTCCCCCCTGTGTCTTATTTTCACCTGTAAACAGTAGCTAAAAATATGCAAAGTCCTAATTCTTTTGTATTAATGCAGGCACTGCTGCTGTTACATTACAGGCAAAGCAGCTGCTTGTGCAAAATTATGAATGGGAACAGAGGTTTCCAGGAAAAAATGGCTTTAAGGTCTAATTCATCCTTGATTCATAAATTCTCTTTCTGATGTTTCTTGTTAGTTCATCTTTTCCTGTATAAAATCTCTATTACAAGCCATCTTTGGGGTTGAGAAGTGATTATTTTCCTAAAAATGGCTGGAGCTTTAGGGCTGAGAAGGGTGGCAGAGGAAGAGGAGGTGTTTCTAGGGGATGTTTCTATTTGAAGACTGTAAGTACCTTCTCAAACAATAGCCCCTTTCAAAATTAAGGGCCTTTCGGAAGGTTTCGTATCGCTTCCTCCATCTCCATCGTGTGTGTGTGTAATCTGCTGTAAGCAGAAATTCACTGCTGGGCAGGAATATCGTGTTTCACAGCTGTGTTGTTATGGGAGATTATATTTCACAGATGTGATGACATAACTGTGCAGTATAATTAAACAGTAATGACCAACAAGGAGGGCATTTCCTAGAGGTTAATGACAGTTACAAACGGCTGCGTGGAGGAGAGGGGGACCCGCACTACGGCTGAAGCCCCCTTAGTCTATTTAATTAATGTGAGAGCCCGTTACAAGCGTTATAAATCAAGATGAAAGTATGTAAATACTTGGCAATAAAAATAAGCGCTTTAAATAATGTTAAGGATTGTTACAACCTTTTTGTCTGTGTTTGTGGAAGCTGGAAACCTGTAGTTGAAAATCAGAGTGCTCCTTTTGGTTTCCTTCTCTGAAAGAAAGGGAAAGGAAGGCTGTTGATGGGCACCAGATTTTTAAGCAATTGATGTAAGAAAATAAGATTCATCAGGAATCTTTAGTAGGAGTCTTTATTTCCTGCTGACAACAATAACTGTTTCGTACATACTGTGTAATCAAGTGTTTACAGAATCAGGTTAACATTGAATTATTAACTTTCTCTTTGTAATGTTAAAAATTGATTATCTCTTTTTTTTTTTAAGATTTTTAAAAAGATTTTAAAGAGGAAAAAAAAAAAAAGAGACAATGACCAGACACAGAGACTTCCAGTAATGAAAATAAGCAGCTTTCGCCCTAAATAACTGAACAAACTGAGACAGAAGTTGAAACGTAAGCTCACTAACCTGGAGTTTAAGAAGCTGCGGGTCAGGTTTTCCAATGCTCCTAAGTACAAAAGTCCTATTGACTAAAAGCTGCAAATGTTGATCGAGCGCAGCCCGATAGCAGCACTTCAGCTTGCCGAACGTTCAAGAGTTTGCAAAATGTTCAAGAGTTTGCGGCGGTTCAAGAGTTTGCAAAATGTTGCTCGCCTGGGAAGGTTTCATGCGCTGTTTGCTTGTAGCTTCTGTGCCTCTTGTTTTGTATTTTTGCAGTAATGGTATTAATAGGGCCTGAAGTTTTTGTTTTTCACTGTAAGTTGACATTTTCAGCGTTTTTTTAATTATTATTAAAAAAAAATAAGTTTTTGAACCTGAAGTGCTTTTAGGATGGAGAAAACTGAAGAAATTAATGGAGTAGGTATTAAATTTGAACGCAATATATGAGGGAAAATATAGAGGTATGAAAACATAGAGAGGTGTGAAATTAACAGATGGAGATGAAATTAAAACCTAAATTCAGTAAGTATAAGGCCTGTTACAAACTGAAAACTTACTCTGACCTGAATTTCTATTAGGCGTGTGGTGCTTTATGTATAATGGGATTTTCCTAGATACTTAATAAACCTGACAACAATAACTAGCCCGGTGCTGCGAGCACTTGTCTTGGTGCTGAGCCTGCCAGTTTTCCTGCGCACATTACAGCTTTCTGCGCCGTAAGTAATCCAGCTTGCTGCAGCATTCGGGCCTCCGCAAACAGGGGCCCGAAGCGTTAAAAAAGCAGCGCAGCAACCAAGTAGAAAATTGCACGTTAGATGCACCCGCCTGTTGGTTTCCCTTCCCGCGGCACCGATTAAGGGAAGAAGGAGCAAAGGGAGCTGCGCCCGGCGTGCCGCCGGCTTCGGCGACCTGGGAGCCGCTCGGCCTCCCTCGCAGCCGGTGCGATGCCGGGGCCGGGCGCGGGGGTCCCTGCGGCGCCGAGGGGCCCCGGGCACACACGGAGCAGGCGCCGGGGCCGCGTAGCCACCGCGGCACA